TCGCTGTGCGATTCGACCAATGCGGAGGAGGAGCCGGAGCAGCTGCATCCGCATGCGGGGCAAATTCTAGAGCACATGCTGGATGACTTTGTGCGAGAGCTCGGGCTGGAGTACACCTGTTCGCCGCAGCTGTTTACCGTTATACAAAAGCTTTTGCAGTCGGAGCTCAAAGAGAGTCGTAAGTTGGCCTATTCGATAATGCGCAAGCTGCTGCTGAGCATTGGCAGGAGCGAGGACTTCCACAAGGACTGCCCACAGCTGCAGCAGGCGCTCAAGTGCGTGGAGCCCCACTGGCCGGCCTATGTCGTCATCATGGAGCAACTGGAGCAGGACGACTCACACCTGGTGCTGCCCATGCTGAGCGGCCATCTGCCGCGCTTTGTGGCCTGCAGCCAGGACAACGACTGGCTCAGCTGGCTGCGAATCCTCTATCTGCGACTGCTCGAGAACCGCAACAAATTCGTCGTGCGCTGGACCCTGGAGTACTTCCTCTTACATTCCACTGTCTCGGAGCTGCGTCGAGCCAATCTGCTTAACGAATTCCTGGTTGCCGCCAACAAAACGGATCTGTACGATGCCGAGGACTACTTGCTGCCGGAGCAGAATATCAAGACCTTTGTCCAGAATAGTGGAGCGGTGAATTTCCTCGAGGCCCTGGTCCTGGTGCCCTGGCAGAGTCTGCCTCTGCTCCACTGGCTGCGCAGCATGCCTCCACGCCAGCCACACGTGGCAATGGCCTTAATCCTGAAGATCTGCGGCCATGTCAAGTCGATGCAGCACGAGACTTTGCGCTACGAGGCACAGAACCGAATGTTCGACATATTTGAGGTAAGTTTTTACCCGGGAACCGATTTCTCGCCGAGAAATATTCATTACCAATTCACAAAGTGAAATGATTCACAAATTGAATTGATTTTGCTTGAGATTCATTTGTCCGACTGTCCATATGAAGGCGAACCAATTCGCCTCTACTGAAGCGAGGCAAATGTTGAATGTTGAACATATACCCATTAGTTCCATTGTATAAGGGATAATAATAGCATCATAATTGCATAATATTCGCGATATGAACACTATGTGTGTGGGGAAAGCTATTATATTTCTGTTATTGTTATGGTATTTGAGATTTCCAATTGAGATTGTGTACTCACATAGAGAACGCAAACTCACAAAGTATGGGCCCATATAGAACCAGAAGCATAATAAATTAGTTACATAAAGTTTTACAGTTATAACGTAACCTGACTACTTATAAGGATTTGCCAAAAGTCATGAGCCTAGGTCTAATGGAAGCGTGATACTGTTTTGTTTATAATGATTGTTTATAATCATTATCATTATTATCATTTTATTATTATTATAATTCTTATTCATTATCATAATTATTATACATATGTATAAATATAATTTTTATTATTCGTGAAAGCTGAAACCTGTAAAGTTAAAAAATGATGAAGTAAGATTACATATTGAAACATATACTTTCATCTCTATTCCTCCATTCCATTTCAGCCAACAATTGAAAGTTTCTCTTTAGGCGATTATATACAGTTTATGAGGGCCCTTTGCAGCAATAGTGATAATTTTTGCAGGGATCACAAACGATTTACAACGAAAATTGCCACCTGCAATAATATAAGCGAGGAGCTGGTTCACTTTGACAAGAATCTATTCGTGATTATATATCGCACAGGTAAAGCGTTGAGAGCAAAAACCAATAGATAATAATTCACGTATATACGTCATTATTTTGTTTCAGATGTCAAAATAGGTATCGAGCTGCATAAGAAGCTGAGCCAATTGCCAAAGGATCAGCATGGCTGGTGGCGTCTCTTCTCTTTCTTTTTCAGTCTCAAGCTCGAGTGTGCGAGCGAGAGAATGCAAATACTCGACTTCTATCAGGAGCAGTACGATTTGAATATCGATGAGTTGGAGCGCTTCACCGACCTCAACGAATTGCAGCAGTATTTGGTGCACAAGCTCGAGTGCGACACGGATGAGGAGATATCCTTTGTGCTGCATCGCGCTGTCGATTGGTTTACGTGCGAGAGACTCATCAGCTGGAACCAACTGGACGAGCTCAATCTAAAGCCGGCGGAGCTCCTTAGCCAAGGCACAATTCTAACGGCTCAGCGTTTAGCGACTTTATTGAATGGCATCGAGGCTCGATTAGAGGATGAGAGCATAATCAAGTCCCTGATAGCATATCTCAAGCAATTTCCGGATAGTGTTCTGGTGTAAGTATATATAAATATATGAGTGGGATGCTTGGTTCTACATTGGGTAATAGTATTTCACAAAGAGAGTGAAGAAAGAGTCTGTACATATTTAATTAACATCATTTTCTTAGTTGTTTCCATGTGGTAGATCCTGCTTTATTGAAAAATTAATATTATCTGCATACATTTTTTACACATTCATGTCCGATTTTAAATTAATAATATACTTAGTTTAGTAAAATCAGATATTTCTCAAGGAAAATAACTATTTGGGAGGTATTCATGCATATATATAGATTTAAAACGTTTTCATACTTAGGTTTATCATAAAAGAGCTCAGGGATCAATTTGTGGTATAAGGAAAATATATGATTCCATCTGCTTTGATATTTTTATATGTACATCCAACTCAAACTGTAATTATGATTCACTATATAAATATTTATACTAGTTTGAAGGGTATCGCATAGTCGATCACTCATAACTCTTAACGTATTGTACTCATATTTTTATTTTCCTTTTCACATACAGCGCCACAGCCATTGTGAAGTACGCCTCCGCCCATTGGTCCGTTGAGGAAAGCGATCAGATCTTAAATGATGTCCTGGAAGCGAGCCAGTTCCTCAATATAAACATTTTGTGCTGCACGAAGAGCGTGCCCACATCTCTGCTGATACGTGGCATACTCTCGGGCAATCCGTTGTCTGGCGAAAAATGGTAATGCAGACAGTTTAGTTTATCTGTTCAGTCTCATTCATTTTGTCCCTCCCACAGCATCGAGTACGGATATTTGATCAGCCAGTACAATTATTTTTTTACGAGCTGCAGGAAACGGGATAGTTATATTAATTTTGTTATTGAAGGCAAAACGGATACGCACCCACTGCTCGACGAGCTGCTGCGCATCAACAACGAGATGATCGACACGAGACAGGGCTACGTTGAGAACTGCAAGGATCATCGCATCAAGATGCGAATCGCGCGCGCCTTGCTCAGGATAACGTTCAAAGGCCCCAGCTACTGGTCGGACCAGCTGTGGCAGGCTCTGCTCGCTGTCAACGAGCATGACAATATCCGGTACATGTATGAGTGCTTGGTGGCACGCTGTTTGCCCAGCGTCGACCACTTGCTAAAGCGCCTGCAGCAGCTGACTGAGCTCAAGTCCTGCCAGCAGTTGTCCCTGATCTCCGTGCTGCACATCTACTGCCTCAGCAAGTACAACGGGATCAAGCTGGAGCAACTGCAGCGCATTATCGACATTCTGCTGCCGCTGACCATGGCCGCCAATCTACAGATTCGACTGTTCGCTCAACTGGTGCTGCACAGGCTGTTGCTGCAGCTGGAGGATAACAAGTAAATGGGTGGAAATCATTGCCAGATACTGGGTTTAATATATGTACAGAGCTGATTTAGCTGCTATAGGAAGGCAGCTTAGCTCAGAGTTTGACGAATTGATAATGTTATGCTGAGTCGATCATAGATTCCAATTTGTCAGATATACCGATATATTTTTACAGGAGTTCTGCCATATAACTCTATCTTATATTATATATATGTATATAGTTAGTTGTATTGCTCTACTTCTACTGATGTGCGCCAACCGCAAGAAGGAATTCATGTAAAAAGGATTAGAATACTCAGCATAAGGTTGACATAAGAGTTAGCTTACATAGAGTCCCCTACATCTACATACGAATAATGCATATAGTTTTTCGATTCGTCTGCCTGAGTTTCTTTCTGGCCAGATAGTCTCAAGGTGAAATTGTGGTTACATAAGAAACTTTACTATATGTAGAAGGATTATACAACATAAGTTCCATTCCCAGCATCTGTTCCCATCAGCTGAATCATACTCTGCAACAAACATATAGTATAGATAATTTAATTACGTTCAGCAAGGCAGATAGATAGATGTTTAAACCGACTTACGATTACAGATCATACATATGGAATACTATATTGTCCTCTTACAGCATCAAAATTCCTGGCGTCACCAATATGAAGCTGGCCATTGAGAACGGTCTGGGTCACAAGCTCTCGGAGTGTCAATACGAGGGACGATTGCTGCTGCCCAAGATCTGTTATCAGACGCCCGATGGACTGCAGGCCGCCGACTTTATACTATATATGACATACGCACCGTGCGACGAATACTTTGCCGATGCGCTGCGACCGAACATGAAGTTGAAATCGGAACTCGGCAAGTATCGCAGCAGTCTGAAGTACAAGTGTCTAACAGCATAGACGAGAGCTAGAAATGTTTTAAAAATACTTTTAAGATATGTTGAAGGTTAAGGATCGAACATTGCAAATATACATACTCAAATAGTATCCTCTTTTTCATTTCACATTATAGATATTGCAGCGTTTCAATTGCTAGTTTTTTAAGCGAGCGATGTCGAATCCTGGAAGACTGACTGAATCGAAACTAGGATCTGATGTGTATACAAAACATATGATAATCTTTCAAGGATTTTCAAATAAAATTTATAATAAAGATAACTTTTTGTACTAAAAATTTGTATAATTGTAAATCAAAAAAATCGAATTGTATATTAATTTTTAAAATTTTCAATGGCTTTTTGTTGTTGTTTTAATACGTACATATATATAACTACATAAAATCTTACAAATTGTTTGCTCGTATCTCATTTTGTTTTTTTAGTTTTCTTTTTAGAAAATTGTTTATACAATGTATATATGGAAATCGTTTTTGCGGGCGCACTCTGTATACAATATTATTATAAACTATTTTTAAATAAGAAATAAAACTTGTAAAAATCGGTTGTACTAATGGCAAGAGCGTTCAATAAACGCCAATGCACTATATTATTGTATATATAATTGGTATTTTGTTGTTGTTAATGTTCTTTTCCTTTTTTTTCAGCATTTACTGCGGGTTTCAATTTTGATTTGTATTCGCACAGCTTGGCTTCCATTTGCTTCCTTCATTTTGCGCAGAGACAGAGTATGTAAAAAAAAAGTTTAGGTTTAATGAAACAACCAACAGAACGTGGCCATAATATCGGCGCCCATAAACAGGCACTAGAAATCCATGGAAACATTTGAATTGACGCCGCAATTGGGGATTGGCAACACGTCTGCACTCTTGGCTGTCTGCTCCGATGACTCCTGCAGATCTGTGGGAGAAGCCATAGGGAATATTTAAAAGATTCATATAGATTAGCATCAACTCTCACCTGGCGGCAAATGAAGCTTTTCGATGACAAACTTCTTGCGACGCAATTTGAAGGCCAAGTCGGTGGTCTCCGGCATGTGCACGGCCAGCGTATTGATGGCGCTCATCTTGTGCAGATGCAGCAGACCGCTGTACTCCTTGAAAGCCGGATGCGTTTCGCGCTCGGAGCCGGCAAACGATTCCAGCTCAATGGCATAGTCGACCAATTGACGAATCTTGGGCACCAAGCTGCTGTCCTGTAAATAAACCAATCAACATGTTTAATTATATTATAGATTAGCAGAGCTTACAACTCCAAACTCACATATTTGGCTATCAGGTGCATGGGCATTGTGATGAAGCAAACAGCAGTGCAGCTGCGCACGCTGCCACGCAATATAGTTAGAAACTTGAGCAAATCTTCGGCAAAGTGATCGTCGTACCACAGAGGAGAGCCCAGCGAGGTTAGGCAGACCCTGCATAGATTCTTCTCCTGCATGTTGGCGCCCGGCTCAAAGATCGAGTCGTTGAGCAGCAGTTGGATATAATTGAGCAGGCGATCGTAGCGTGCATTGTAGAAGAATTGTGGTTTGCCAGTTGGGGGCGATGCAGTTGGCGTGGTTGTGGTGGTTGTTCCAGTGGTGCTTGTCGTATTGTTGGCAGTGCTGTTATCCATATTGTTATTATTGTTGTTGTTGATGTTGGKGGCAGTTTTTTGGCCATCAGACTGCTCCATGGGTGTCACTTCATCAGTTTCAGCAGCAGCAGCTGCTGCTTGAATGGGAGCAGTGGGAGCAGCATCAGGTGGTGGAGACTGTTCCCCTTCTTGGTCCGGGTCCGCCTTAGATCCCACAGCCTGGGCATACGAGTAAGGCATTGACTCGCTGGGATCCGGCAACAATTCGTCGCCACCAGCACGTGGTTGTTCCGCATCGTTAGCAACATCGAAATCTTCATAGTCCTCTTGGTTCGTTTTCTTATCATTCCAAATGGTAGCATGCGCATAGGAAAGCATCATGGCATCCATGTGCTCCATCAAATTGAAATGATGTCCAATTTTCGCAGTGGCCTGCTCCGAATTGACCAGCGGTAAATCGTTGTAGCGAAACGCAATGCGAAGACCATTTTTATCCGCCTGTTGCTCCTGCTCAAGGCGCTGCTCTTGCTCGACCTCCTCGTCGGTGAGAGGCTTGGGCAGGCGACGCAACATCTCTGCTGGCAAATCATCCAAGCTGCCAAGAAAGAGCTCCTGCTTGGACAGCAGACCCTCAGCCAGGAAGTACTTGGCCAGAACCTTGGCATGCGTCATGAACCGATCCTCCTCTAAGGAACACAAAGAGTTAAACGGTTAACAATTGATGGGCGACTTCTCATTGCTGTATTGCGATGCTTACCAATCAGGCATATCGAGCCGATGGGCAGACCACCGCCTAAAATCAGATCAAGCGATGGATTACCGCTGGAGGTGATCACTTGGCCAGTGTGGGGGCTAGTGCGCGTGCCACGGATTGGCTTTTGCACGGTCCGTTTGCGAAAACTCGTCATGTCTCAACAATTTTCCACTATTGCGTTACGTTTTTATCAGTTCTCTCTTTTTTTTTTTGTTTGCCGGGAAAAAGAAGACAGAATGTAAAAGTGTGCAAGGGATAAAAGTGTGCAAGGGATAATAAGCTAAAAATGGGCGAAAACTATATTTTAGTATTTATACTGCGTATTAAGTATTTTTACATGGTTTACTTTAAAATCATTACAAAAAACGAAAATAAATTTAAATAGACATGCATATAACAAAAACAAAAAAAGATATTGAATTGATGGCCAAAAATTATTTATTTGCTGAAAAATATGCTCATCACTGTTAAATACTATATATTGTAGTGTCAATTGCAAGTAGTTTAATCTTGGCGGGCAAGCGAAGGAAGGTTCGCATATGGAAATGTACTAAATGTTGACATAAACGGTATTCCGGCATTCGCGATGTGCACTGGTAATCTTATTTCGACTTTTATATTTTTAGTTTAATAATACATAATAAATAATTACTTTGGTCAAAGCGCGTGTGTAAGCCAAATATTATTAAAATAGCTATATTATTTTCGTAGTATAGGTTAATACTAGACGAAAACTTCAGCTTGCGTCTGATCGACTAACCTCCACACAATGTGACCAAATTTCTATCACAATTTTACCATTCTTTGCCATTATGCGATGTTTTGTACAATTGCTCCCAAACTGTATTTCTTAGCAATGAGCAGCGACTCCTAAACGGTTAGGTTTTCAATCCTTGTAAATACAATATCCTGTTTTTTGATTATCTATCTTATGGTAACAAGGGTTAGGTGCACGAACTGCAAATTAAATTGCCTAGACGAATATCCTGACCACATAGGCATTAGTTTAGCAAATCAAACATCCTGCGCATTATCCCTAAGCGTCTATGGCAGCTGTTACGCCCACCATCGTTTTTTAACGAAAGGATAATTATGCCCAATTTGCGCAAAAAGGATGCAGCGGCAGTGTTTTTAATTACAGGATAGGCAAGCCGTTTGCCTATAAGTAACTAACAAGGATATTGATAAACAGGCTAAGGGAAAGTCAACAGGACCTCAGGAAAGGGTTTAGGTAACGGCTCGAGGGCTTGTACGAGGAAACTAAATCACAGTGGACTCTTTCTAGGAAGGACACAACACACGCAAAAAATAAAAGTCAAAATCAAAGTAAAAAGAGAAAAAGGACACAGGACATACAGTTAGGCAGTCGAATGGCGAGCGAATGGCGTCAACCTTCTGCGTGGGAAAGGTAAACAGCCAAAGGACAATAAATTACGGCTGTGCACGGCACACACAACGAGCACAATGCAGGACAATCATTATTGATTGCAAGCCCATACGACAGGAGAGAGAGGGAGAGAGGAGGACATACTGGCGAGTCCTGCTGAATTGCAAATGCGTGTGTGTGTGTTGGCAAAAGGATTGCGCATCCTTGTATAATTTATGGTCAGGCTGACCAGCAGCTGGCCCGCAGCCAAGTCAAGCTGAGCCAAGCCAACCACCCGCCGCTGCTTGCTGTGAAAAAGGACCTCACCGATCTCGAATCCTTTGAATCGTTTTAATTACGAATTTATGTGGCATGGTAAAATGCCTTTCGACATGGCCAATGCCCAATGGCCAACGACGGCCGACGGTCGAACGGCGCAGGCGCAGCAAATTCATATTTGGACTGACCATAATCATGCGGCAGGACGAAAGGATATATGAATGCATATTCACATACATATGTAGAGTGAAAGTGTGTGCGGCATAGAAAGAAAACATATGGCTACGACTCCAAATCTAAATATAAACGACGCGTGTCTAAAGAAAGAGCAGCAAGTGTTGAACGAGTGCCTCTCAAACTGTTGCAGCTGTGACTCTTCAACTGCAGCAGTGCTTTGCTATTGATGGCCTCATTTATTCTAGTGAAGATATAATAATAGAAAATTGTTTAGTTAGCGTAATTTATAAATATATATTTAATTGATTGATTGATTGATTGATTTACTGGTGATCGTGGCATATATTGAGCTCTTAAGAGACGGAGTTGCAGACAATTTAGAATATTACAAATAATTAATTCATGGATAAGTAATATTTTAGAAATAGTGCAAAATGGTCTGAAGGAATGACTGAGTTTTAACAGAAACGAAGAAACCGATAGAAATAAAGAGCGAATTTTCCAGAATAATTCATTTCTAAATACAAGATCAAGAAGAATTTTCTTACTAAATTCTAAAGAAAATTAATAATGATTTAAATACATATACTGAAATTCTCTTCATTAAAATTTTCTTTAAGAAGATTTTCAAAGATTCTTACCACTATTTACTGATTGATTATTGTGAGAATATGGAGTCAAACTTTTGAAATCAAGATTATATACAGTGTACAACATTAATATTAGATTTATTTATTCATTTATTTTTTTTAGTATTTCTCAACTTTAAGCACAAATAAAACAGCTGATATTAATTGAAATTAAAAGAGTTTAAATGGTAAAATGTTTAATAGATTCAAAAATTACCTATTCAAGGAGGTATGTATCAAAGTACTTAATATTCAACATGACTAACAAAAATTATGCATAAACAATATATTTTTATCAAAAGTATTATTATCAATTATTAATATTAAATATGCAATATGACACTCTAGTTTTTATATAAATTAGTTTTTATATAGTACTGAAGACAGAACACCCTCGCTATGGTCAGTGCTAGTAGTTAAGGACTCCGAAGTTTTTCTCTCTCTTAAGGAGTCTTTAGTTTCCCTCTCTATCTCTATCTCCCCATCTCTTTCCCACTCTCTCCCTCTGCCTCTCTCTGCCTCCGCATATGTGATAAATAGTTGGGTGCTTCGGCAGCTGACAGGATGTTAAACGACAAATTAACTCGACTAAAATCCAGTTTTATTTTTATAGTCGCTGACATTTTTTTGTAATGAATTTTTTCAGACTAACCCCAAAGGACATTTTCGATGCACGCGCTTAGGAAATGATTTCTGTATTGAATGAAGGAGGCACTACTCCTGGTGGAGCATGAGGTAGACAGAGAGAGTTAGAGAGAGAAAGAGAGAGAGAGAGAGAGAGAGAGAGGGAGAGGGAAAAGGAGTTTCAGAGTATGTTCAAGTGTTGCTGCTGGCGTTCATTTAGACAGTTTCAAGTGTGTGTGGATGTCCTTTTTGTAAGAACATCCTTTTTTAGCAGGGTATTTCAATAGAATCACACGTTCAAGAAATCTTTTCAATATGAAAATGTTTTCGTTTTGCAGTTTTAGTGAAGTGGAATTCAAATGTGAATTTTCGAATATACCATATTTTTCTCCAGTTTTCTATTAGTTCTTATAGAATATATATTTTCATAGAGAAGATCTTTCCTTTCCTATACTTTGAGTATTTCACAATCGTATCCTTTTCTTTTAGCAATGGGATTTGAATTTGAATTTTTTATGAACCCTGATCAGAGAAAGTCTTTATTTTTTACCCATTCGGTGATAGAACTTAAGTTTGTCTTTAAAATAATTTAATAAATAAATAATATTGAGATTTAAACTATGAGCTGAGACAAATGATTTCCCATCTCATTTTAAGAATTGCGAGTTTTCATATTCCTTCTCATGTTTCTCAGTGCTACTAAAATTCAACATATATTATATAGTCAAGAACGAGAGTAGACTATGTTTGTAGCATTTGATTCATCTTCACTAATTTTAGATTCAGTTCTTTACCATAAATTATATAATGAAATCCTCTGATTTATTTACAGGATATTTCATAGTTGTCAAATTGAAAATTTCAATTGATTATCCTGGCTGTTTTGTAGTGCTGTTGAGTTTTGATTGAGACGAAGTTGCCCTGTTTTTTGTTGCTTGACATAGCTTCTAGTCGTAGCTGTAGGCGTTACATGCCGCACGCAGGACATATGACACATACACACACACACACACACACACACGTATATGCCGCGTGTGTTTTTGCAGGTAAGTTTCGACTGCTAAGCTGGCCCCGCCCACACCCATCACCGCCCCGCCTCGCTTCATTTCATTTTAAGCTACGTTTTTTGGTCGTTTTTCGTTTTCCTTCTTTTTTTGTGATGGACATTCGTTGGTTCATGTCCTGATGCTCTTGTCGGTCGCTAGGATACCCTTTTTTCCTGTTAAGGCAGCCGCCTGTTATTTGATGCCTTGTTAACTTTCATCTGAGAGTGGGCGGGGCAGGAATTCGGCTTGTTTTAGCTTGTTTTTTTTCCTGCTTCTTGGGGCAGCTTCTTGTTTTTCAATGAATGTCCTTTCTGGCTAGGACAATGCGTGTTGCTGCTGCTGCTCGCTTTCGTTTTTCTTCTAATGAAAAGAAAAGTGGGCTTTCATTTTCCAACACATTTTTTGTATACTATTTTCATTTTTTTATTTTATTCTCTCTGAGCTGGGATGAGTCCGCTGCGTGGTATTCGCTTTCATGTACCTTGGAGTTTATTAGCTTTAAGCTGGGGGCAATGCGACTCTGTGTCCGTGTCGGTGTATGTGATTGTATGTGTGTGTGTGGACAGCTCTTTGGGTTACCTGGGCAGCCGGGTGCCTTTGAAAATTAAAGCAATTATCGCTAAAGGTTACGGAACAAACAGTTTAAAAACCTTTCCAAAAATGTGGAAGACTCTTATGTTATATATTTTACGTTAAGCTCAACTTTATGAAGATATAATACATATATGAAGATATAATACAGCATAATATATTTCCATGCTAAAAAGATTCTCAAATATTTTTAAAGCCTTAAGTTAAATTTTGAAAAATTTAATTGTTTCATTATATTAAACAGTTTTATTTAAGCTTAACAAAATAAAATTACAAATACAAAATTTTGTACTTTAAATATTACTAACCCATTTACTTTAAAGCTTTAATAAACTTCACATTGCATAAAGCTCTTCAAAGCTTTTTCAATATAATATTAAAGCTCCTTGGTTTTAGTTATTTTTTCTTCGCATTTGCATAAACGATAAATCAATTACAAACTCATATACGCATGCAAAATTGAAGTTCCATTTCAGGTTAGTAGCGACATTTACGAGCATTACTTCCGATATTCCAATACATTACAGTTCCATTTCCAT